GCAGAGCAGCCCAGCAGCGCAGCATCCCAGCAGCAGAGCAGCAGAGCAGCACGCAACTGCTGCGTCACTTTCACTCATCCTAGTTCTCACTTTCGATGAAGCTGAAGCTTTATGCTTGCTGTTGCTCTGTGTTCTCTGTCTCTCAGTCTCTATTCCGTTCTCTTTCTCTCTCTCTCGATAGCTCTCTTTCTCTCTCTCTCTCTCTCTCGCCTTCCCATTCAATGGCTAACTGGCGCTCTCCTGTGTTAGTAGGTTATGTGCACACATAGCTCTGTACATAATGTATGTGGAAATTCGTACTTGCAGTTGTCGTCGTCCTCGTCGTCGTCGTCGTCGTCGTCCTCCCCCATGTTGTCGTCGCCATCGTCTGTCACCGTTGTCTTTCACTTTCGGTGTTCATGTTTTTGGGCAAAACACAAGTGTGAATCGGGGCGGTAGGCGTTGTGGGCGGGTCGGGCCGTGTATCTGGAGTCGGAGCTGGGTATCGGGTATCGGGTTGGGTTGCTATCGCATCTATTGTGTGCGCCACCACGGGCAGCATCTGCTCGGAGTCTGTTTTTCCCAGTGATAATCGGTAATAATGCGTTGTGTCACTATTCAAATGAACGTCCAGTGAATAAACAGCTTTTGCTACAGTTGAAGCACTTTATTCACTGAGCCAACGTGACACTCTTATTTACTCACAATTAGATAAGTAGGTGAACATGCTGAATCGAAATCATATACATACATATATCATGTACGACTTCTATAACGAACAATCCTCATTGAAGAAAGTCTTTGTAAAATATTGATTTCCTTTTATTGACTGTGAAGAAGCAGCAAACTTTTCTATTTTAATATAATGGATATCTACGTTATTCTTAGCAAACATTTTTACCTGTTCGACAAACACAATAAAATTAAAAGTATGTACATACACATACATACATATGCAAGTGCTCTGCTTACTGCGCAGTTAACGCAGTTGCTGCGCTTGGGCTGCATTTTGGGGTTTGCTGATTGCAATTTATTATTGAATAACTTTTTTCTAGGTATACCCTTATACATTTTTAGAGTGTAATAATCTCTTGATTTTAAGGGACTAGAACTATGCCTAAAAAATTAAATTAAATGATCAAATATTCATAATATGGAAATATGAAGATTTATTTATAATAATTATTATCTTCTCTATTAACCAGCTGAAGATGAATGAAAGAATTATATGTCGGCGTAGACTAGAGGCGTACTAAATCGGATCTGACTATAATCTGGCCTATTTCTCAAAAATTCGAGCCTGACAATCCACAAAAGCAATCGCGAAAGCTTAGACTTTTATACGTCAAAGAGGATAGTTGAGTTAGTTGACCTCCTCCTTCGATGACCTCTATGGATAGTAAATTATAAACTTGACGTACCCTGAAGTACCCTGAAGCTCCATTTCGATGGGGAACTAAGAAGACTTGCCCTTTGTGGCTCACCTGCCCGTTCCAGGTGTTTAGCAGTGCAACGTGTGGTCACCGAAAATCTCAGTGTCGAGTGCAGTAAATGTAATGCTTGCCCACCGTCCACACACCTCGCCAGGTGGCATTTCAGTGTCAACAGCAGTAAATGTGTAAATTGAATATTGCGCTTAAGTGCTGCCGGTTGGGCTAAAATTACAGCGTGAATCTGCATAAATATCACTCAGCGTCAGTTGGACAAAAAATCATGGAAACTCACTCTTCATTTATGTCAGCATGGAAATATTGTAATTCCATAAAAAGTAAACGCATTATACATTTTTTTTCTTTTTATTATGAATCCATTAAAACGGGGGGAAATATATGTAAATATATGTATATATGTATATGTACATGTACATATGTATATGTAGTAGTTATCAAAATGGAGAGCTGAGTCGCTAGCCAGGGTCGACAGTTTGTTTATCTATATGAACTCAACATTATCGGAAATAATACATATTATTAATAATATTGGCAATACCATAAATAAATGAAATAAGTAATTGTATAGCCTTTAATCAGTGTGGGTATACCCTATATGAAAATTTAATATCTATTACACAGCTCCAGTTAAGCAGGTAGATTATCAATCTAGCTATCAGTATCAACAGGCGTAAGCTTGTGAGCCTCAGGGTAATTGGGTGATATGGAAATACTGTCAAGTGGAATATAATTAGAAATTAAGTGTTGACTTAAGATAGTAGTATATACGGGCTCAGTCATTAGTTAAGCCTTAGAGGTGAATGCCCTATAAGGTCAATGGCAAATTAATGTAAGAGTTCTCAAGTCCGAGCACTTTCAACACTTTCCCAGTCATTCTAAGATTATCTCTCATCAGTATATAATAAAGACATTTTTTTGTGTATATTTGCCAAAGAACCAATCTTTAAAATAAAAAAAAGTTGTAAGCAAAAATCTCCGTATTCATTGTACAAACCTTTACGAGTGTATGAACAGACGGACAGCTGACCAAGAATACATATACCTCATTAGGCCCACCCCCTTTCGACAGATTTATAGACTTTAAAGAGACTATTATGCCCTGTTTTCCCTTTGTTCAATAGGTGAAGGCTATCACAAAATATCTGTAAAAGTATGCAGCAAATATCTGCAATCGCTGAGCACGATATTTACTCTTTATTTACTTCATAACCGCGTATCGCTCTGTTTCGTGTGTGTTTAATTTCTGTTTGCCTAGTATTTCGATTGAAGGGCCACACAAATATGACGAGCCCTTTAGGTTCAATGGCCGGAAATTGTCTTTGATGACGCGGCCGTAATTTGCGAGCTGCGAATTCATGAATATTGATTGTTAACAAAGTTGGCCTATTTCATTGGCCACGCCCATCTGCGTGAAATTTCAAACGTGTAAATACATATTTTACAATGAAATATTTAATGTAGACTGAAGATTAAATATTATTAAATATTAATTATTAGTTTTAGCATAACTATTTTATATATTTTGGTGGGCTTTCCTAGGAAACTTCCCCCAAAACCTCTTTGCCTAGATTTCAGTGTATATTTGAGTCGGAGTCTCCCGACTATATCACGCTCATTCGCTTCGTAGTTAGACGTCAGCTGAGTATTAAAGCCTTACAGGTAGACATAATTTACTAATAGACCTATCAGTCATATGAGCCAATTAAGTTAACCACTTCTGTAGAATCCCAGTCCACATTCCTCCACAATGCATATTTCAAGGTCATGGTTTCTTTATCATCCTGCCAGGCGGCACTCATACCGCCCAGCGCACACATGCGCGCTCATATATCGTAGTTAGAGGCACAAAGGGTAATTAGTTTATGGCAGATCAAATTACAGGAGCCAAACAGCAGCCGAAGAGCTTGCCGTTTGTGGCTATGCGATATGTGCACACCTGTCAACTGCGGACGGCTCCGCCGTGGACTGGCTCTACACATGCATTATTGGAACGCTAATTGTAGCTACTCATTTAGCGCCCGATTCAAGGGCAGCGAAAGTTAACCGTGAGAGAGCAAACATTTTACCAAAGAATATTGCATTAGTGCGTTGTAACAAAATTACAAAATAAACAGTAGAGCGGCATAGCGTGAGAGCAGCGCAGCACAGCAATGGAGCTGCAGCGGTGCAGAGGGGAGCCTCTGCAGCTGGCGAAGCGCTGCGCAATAAAATCGCATTAGTGTTTGCCATGGCTACCTATGTATCTATTGACCGTAAGCCTCTTAGTGAGCAGTAGTGCGTCCCCTGATTGGTGCACCTATTGAATTATGTACACACGCTGGCAGCAACAGCAACAGCTGCAATGCAGTTGAGGCAGGTGTGGGATGGAAGAGGCGGAGGTGGCGGTGCTCACGAGCAGATCTGTCAGTCAACAAGGAGCGAAGCACTTGCAGCTACTCAACTCGTGTTGGGGCTTAGTTCATAACTGGAGCTTTGCTATGATCATTGCCAGCTGCTGATTCCTTGGCCTTAGGCCAGACAAACAGACGCACACTCCTGAGGCTGGTTCGTGCTTTTGCATCCATACGCAGCCTCGAGCCACTTAACTATTAAGCTGTCCGAAAGGGGCCTCTGGGCTGGGTGTGGGTGGTTGGGTGGTATTCACTGCTGTATTAGAGGCTTAATCTAAATGCTGGCACCTCGTTAGCGGCGACCAAAGCTCTGCATATTCGCATCAGATGTCCTTGTGAGTGGCATGAACCCGAAGCTGCAGCCATTTTTACGGCTGCTTGAGCTACTGCCTGTGCCTCCCGAGGGGCGTGTACCGTTGCAGCAGCAATAATAAATCAATTTTAGGTTTATTTCTTGTGGAAAATGTGTCACCCTTCGTGGCCTGCAGCCTCATTCAAGGACTGGGCGTTTTCACTTTCGGCTTCCAATTACACTCTCTCTCTCTCTCTCTCTCTCGGTTCATCTTCCACTCTCTCTCTCTCTCTCTCTCTCTCTCTCTCTCTCACTGAGTGTGTGTGTGTGAGTTAGACACGCATACATACAACAGTTTAAAGTGTATAGCATGGCTTTCGGTTTACGCCCTTTAAAGCCCGCTCACATTCCCGGCCGTGACACCGTTTCCATTGTTGAGCATTCGCTCAGCCACAGCCCCAAGAGTCTGCCGAGCATCGCTTATATATACACATATATTTGTATGTATGTATATATATATTTACTTACACATATGTATTTATCTTATCAATTGGGCGACAATCATTCCTCAAGGTAAACCCAATTCAGGCGCAGGCTTAGCACGTTTAAATGAAATTGGTCGCTCTCATTGTCGGTGATTAAAATAAATTTTATTATTATCATTTGGTGATTTGATTTAAGGCTCTATCTTGTACAACATTCATATACAAATAGACAATGAACAACAAGAATGCCATAATGTTATATATATATATTATATATACAATATATGCCAGTTCGATTTCCTCTCTGCGAGGAATCCTGCGAGCTTTACAGACAAACACGCTTACACACATACAAGACAATGCCAGCTGCGGCTACATAATTATCGCACTAGCAGCTAGATATACAATTCTTCTCTAAAACAATGCTAAAAATGCGCCTTTCGCTTCTCGAGTCGAAGCGTCTAATATTAGCTAAATTGTCAAAAAATAATAAAAATTATATAATTAGGCTAATGGGTTTTCATTGATTAATTAAATTTTTGTTCTTGTTTTTCATTTGGGCTTTGAAGTCGTGTAATACTCAAGTTTTCATCACATTGATATCTATAATGGATATGGGAAAGTACGGATTCGAAAAACATGGGAGTACAGACAATACGTTAAGGACACCAGTGCAGGACATTATATACTACATTAAACATTAAATGAGAAGCCAAGTTAACAGTTAGCGTTAGAGCTAATAACAAACTATTATGCAGAATGTTTGACCAATACAAATCCAATCCGATCCAATACAATTCCATCTATTTGGCTTAGTTCTGCAGTGCAGCACGCAGCAGGCTGTCCAATGTGAATTGGATTGTTCCGTTGGCAGACGCCTGCAGCACGGATGGGGGTTTGGGTAACGCCGGAAACTTTGCGGACGTACCCGCCGACATTGGGGGCTCCATGCTGCTGAGGCACTCCACAACGGTGGCTGGCAAGGGTGAAGCTGGCAATCCAGCATCTGAGTTGGCGGATGTATTTAGGTTCTTGTTCATGCCGTTGCCTTTGCGCGGCGGCGAAGGGGGCGTCAGGTGTAGCCCAGTGCTAATGCCGGGCTTGCCATTGGGCGTCTTCTGTAACGCATCCACTGTCATTTGAGAGTCGGCTCCTGCCTCCGAGGCAACTGCAGCAGTGGCGAATGCATCGACTTCCTGATTTGCAGGAGGCACTTCCGCCGTTTCCGCATTCTGTTGCTGAGCAATGGCATTATTTACTTTGTTCCATAAATTGCTGATGGTCGCATCCTTGCCAGCAGCAGCCGTGCGTTTGGCAATCTTCTCAATAAAGCTCTCGCCGACGCTGCTGACTGGCGTAGTGTCCACCACATTCTGCTGACTGCAATCGCTACGCGTATAGGAAATGAGACGCGGGCGGATTTGCGGTCGCTCGGCGGGTAGCTCCGGAAGTGTGGCAGAGACGGCACGTCCTTCGCTGACGAGCTTCAGCATAATGCGGCGAGTAATGCCCTGAACCAGGGCCTTCTTGTCCTCGGTTATGTAAGGCTCCCATTGTTTAGGCTTTGACTCATCACATGCCACAGTCTGGCCAGGCTGGCGACGCAGCTTAGCTCGCATGGACTCAACAGGAGTCAGCGCACCAGACGGGTCTGGCTTAAAGCTAACAAGATCATAGACAAAATCTTTGTTGACGGCCTTGACGCGTTTGCGTATGGGCCGTTTCTCACCACCGCGCTCCCCGCCCTCTGGTGAATTTTGGGTGCGCGACCTGCGGCGTTTTTTGCTGACCACGGGCTGCTGTAATTGCTCATCTTCGGGCTCCTCCTTGATGACCACGCCGGGCAAAACGGTTGCGGCAAGCGGCGAACTGGGAGCCATTTCAGGCGGTGGATCGGTAACAGTTTTGATACGCTTCAGCCGCTTCTCATAGGTCTTTGGCGCGGGCTTTGGTTCAGCTGCCAGCTCTGGCTCCGCTGACTCCTCCTTATCCAACAGCACAATGTCTCCATCGACATCGTTGCGCGAATACTCGCACTCATGCGTGGATACATACTGCTCGGTCAGCTTCTCGCGATCCCCCTCTATTTTGTGTGTGAACCCCAAGTGGTTTACTATGTCGTAGCGGCGAAAGGCGCGATAGTCGCATATGGTGCAGCCGAACCGGCGTGCCCGATAGTGGAACATAGATATGTGACGCCGCAAGTTGCCGATTGCATTGAATGCCTTATTGCAGATCTTGCAGCGGCAGCGCAGCTGCTTCTCGACTGGCACATTGCGCTTCTTCTTTATTTTCGGCTTTGTTTCATCGTGGGCGGTCTGCTCGTCCAGTTCGCGATCCTCGTGGTCGCCGTGCTCGTCCTCGCTGTTGGATGCCTCATCGCTAGATAAATCGCTCTCCTGGTGCAGCTGCAGTTTGTCCAACGACACGGTCTGCAGTTCCGGTACATATTTATCATTCTGCTCGGCTAGGCCGGCAAACATTTCATTGAGCGTAGCGGGGTCTATGTTCTGCACATCCACTGAAACAGAATTGGGACTCTCCTCGAGCATCTCCTTATTGGAGACGTTTTCTCCATTTGAGTTTGATTTGAGCTTCTTTACGACTGGTGCTGGCTTGGCCAGCGCTTCTTGCTTGGCGCGACAGTTGAGCAGATGCGTAGAGAGTGCAGCACGGCGCTCGAACGACTTCTCGCAGTAAATGCATAAAGACATTATCTTGCGCTGCTCTCCGTTTGCATCTGTATGCTCAGTCGCATGGCCGACCACATCGTCGGACAGTTTCAAGCGCTTCAGCTCACGGCTTGGTCCCTTTGGCTGAACATCGCCCTGCTGCTTACGGCGCTTCAGGATTGTGTTGCGCATCATGCGTATGCGTCGCGTTGGTTTTCTGGGAATACGAAATGATATTTTAGCCATAGTTCAGAATGTACAGCGAGCATACACACTTGTGATCCTTGGAAAGGTGACGGATGACAGCTGCGGCCTGCAAAAAAGTGAGCGAGCAAGCCGGACACTGAAACACAAACGCAGATGATGAATGATGCTTCTGTATGTGCAGCTCGAGTGTCTTTTGCGTCTGAAATGTCAAATTGCCTGCGACATGAAAGAAGAAAGAGCAGAACAAAAAGAGAAGGGAATAAGTGCAAAGCCTACTTGTCAATAATCGTATCATTCGATATATTACATATTTCACAGAAGATGTTTGTTTCTGCTTCGTCGCTGACCGACTGTTCTGGAGTTTCAGCCGAATCGCTGCCACTCGGTCGCTCGTAGTGATTCGTGTTCAAGGCCTTGCCATCGGGTCCCACAATGGTTTGTTCAGGATTGAGCATGTGATGGACCTCGTTCAGCTCTGTTTTAATGCTGTCGTCCTGCTCGACCTTAATCGTCTGGTAGACCGCCTGACTGGATGTGGGCACCGACTCCAGCTGCAGCACTGGCAACAGCTGCTTCCCAGCAGCCGATGGCGCTTTCTCGCGTCGCAAGCGTTCTATGACGCCGCTCAGGTCGCGCATGCTGCCGCGTATGGGACGAGCCTCACGCGGCACTGGCGAACAGCCTGTGCTGCGGCTGCGAAGCATGTGGTCAATATCCTGAGAGGCGGATGCCTGAATGATCATGGTCGAGTTTTGGTCCTGCAAACAAAGTCAGTTAGTACTATATAAAAGCAATCCAATTGGAGTTCTGAATTGGACACTGGCTTTACGGCTAACTCACTGTGTGTCCGGAATTGTGGCTTGTTAAACGCGCACTGACGCAGCAGAAGACGCGTTTATGGCTAATGAAGTTGGCCAAGCTGCGAAACATATTACGGCACACGTTGCACTCATAGATGAGGCTGCACTCTTCGCTGAGCAGACGTCGCACCTGTATGAGGCAATGGGACACGATTTAATGATTGGATTAGGTAACAGGCACACCCATACCCAACCCTGTTCACTCACATACACACATACGCCTACATATACATGGTAATATTAGTACAATGAATGCAGCTAGGGCTCGAATTATTTCAATTGTGTTGTGAGCTTAAAGAGTTGGTTTACAATAATAAGAAAAACATAAATATATATATATACATATATATATTTTTTAAACGTTTCTTTTGTATGGGGAGTCATACAAAATCAAACGCCCAATACATATGTCAATACAAAGAAAGTATTTCCAAGTGACTAAAACATTTAATTATGACTCAAACAGTTGGATTTGGATGGGAGTTGCGGGCGCAAAGGACCTGTCAGCTATTGAGCCTTGATCTCATGCTCATAGAGTTTGTTTATATTACGCCATTTGTGGACCTAGTTGGGTCACGTACGCAGCTCGCCTACACGCTTAGGCCTGTTGGCGCTTCCGCTTACCTCTCTGGTGCCGTTCTCATAAGCACGACGCGCCTCCTCGAAGCCCGTGTGGGCCGTTTGGAGCGGTCGCTGCAACAGGCTTAAGTCGTTGCCATCGTTCTCCATCTTCTGTGTATCCGAATTGCAGCGCGAGTTACGCTTCTTCATGGTTGCGGTCAGTTTATGGTTCCCGCTTGGGAAAACCTACAAAATCTGTTAGTTTCCAACTTAATTGCACTTGTACGCACTCATGTGCAGATTGCACATGCTAATATGTTTTTTTTTTTTAATTAAAATCGGATTTTGTATCCCACTTTAAACCTGCATATTGCACATTTCATTACTATTGCAGTTTTTGCTTATTTTTGTTCTCGCTATATTGAAAGAGAGAATTTCATTCTGTTCTCGCTCGATTGATTTCGATGTTAGCCAACACTGCTTTCTTCGCAACATGCTGCGCTCACGCTGGAAACATTTACAGGCACGACATAACCTATCGATGAGTGCAGCACATAGCAACGCTGGACTGCGCGCGCACTTAAGTGCTGTAAAGTGTTGTGCTGAGTTTTTCAAAAAAGCTGCCACCCAATCCGAATCATATACTTTTCCATTTCCATATATATTTTAGAAGATTTATTCGCTCAAGCTTGTTGTTTGTTGACAATATGTATTGTAATACATTTTATTTATTATTCATTTACTAATGCTAAACAAAGTTAGTGTTTGTTATTATTCATAATAAATAAAATACATAATTTTTTTGAGGTTTGGTTTCCTTCTCTATTTTCATCTTGAGTTTGTTTTTTGTTTATTAAAAAGCGTTTGTCATAAAATAAAGTGGCTAAATATTTGTTTGCACTGCAGTTTACCATAGTTGAAGCTTGTTATGTATATGTATAGGCATAAATATATTGTTATTGTTTTGAAAACTCAATTATTTGTATACATATATATACTTGGAGAGATAATTATGTTTGATTTAGTTACTCGAATTTTGCATCTACATTTACTTTATTATTACTCTTTTAGGGTTTCGTGGTATTTAATTGTATTTTTGAAAATATATGCATTTGGTATTTGGTATTTGGTGTAAATAGCGTGTGGWTTCATTAATATTACATCATTTAATTGTGTACATTTATAAGCAGAAATGCTACATATTTATGAATGCATTTATGTATGTATGTAAATATATAATCTGTTACATCTTTATTGAAATACATTATTTGCATTGTAATTAAATGTTAGACGCAATATACGCGCGACAGAAGAACTTGAGTTGACTTGATTCGCTACCGATAAATTTTTTTTTTTAGTTTTTTTTTTTTGCTGTTGTTGTTGTTGTTTTTTTTTTTGTGTTTTTTTTTTTTTTTTGATGAGTAAATTTGTATAAAGGTTAAGGTAATGCGTTTATCTTTAGTAAGGCACTAGTCACACGCTAGGCAGCCAACTCTCTCGCGCTGAATCATCATCGATTAGAGTCTGGGCCCGCTGCTTACCGTGTAACTACTGACTACGACATACAAATCCCTCTTCCGTATTCCGACCAAAGTTTAAAGCTTTTACGTGTACAATTAGATTTAGCGTATTCTTTACATTTAGTTTTTACTTGTAGTTCATTTTTTTCAATTTCTTTAGCTACACTGACGAACTAAACTGTTCTGCAAAACAAGCAACGATGCCTACTAAAGATATTATGGAGGAGGGTCTGGAGGATCAATCTCGATATGGAGGGATTAGCCACTATTTGACTATAGTTCATTATTTATATTTTAGATAATATGGATGCATTGGGGCTTGTCTTGTTGGTAGGTTGACGATTTTGTGTGTACGTTGAGGCTGAGGCTGATAGTTTACTGTATTTGTTGACKTGGTTAACACAGGATATTATTATCATTATCATTATCAATATCATTATTATAATTCACTTGTTTCGCACTCTTCGCACAGACAGAGAGTGAGAGATAGAGGCTAGTTATACAATATCTAACCTATATTGTTATATGTAGCATCATTGGGGGAGAGATAGAGAAAAAGAGGAAAGAAAGTTTTTATAGTTAGCGCTTGAACTTTCTTAGTACAATTGATTTTTTAGTTTCTTTTGATTACTGCCCCATGACAGACTATAGCTAGGTTTAATTTTAACATATCAGTTACATACAAATTGGGGGGAAATGCAACTGCAGAGGCTGGCCATATTGCTATGAACTTGTCCAGACATCCTTTGCAACTCTTATGCGCAAGCAACTATGTTAAAATGTTGTATCAAAATCCTCTTTTAGAATGTCATGTGCACGTTCCATGTGTTCAATGTCAATGTATGTGTTTGTCTGTGTGTTTGTGTAATGCGCAATGCTTTATAAGCTACTCTCAGCTACATACATACGTAAAGGGTATGCATGAGTTCATAGTCCATAGCTAGCTTCGATTGCAATTGCCATTGTATATATATAATTGTGTGTGTGTGTGTGCATGATGGGTGTGTCTGGGAGCACATGCATAGCAGGACTAACAACTAGATACATAAGTGCAGGATGGCTACTACTCAACTTTAGCTTCTAATATATACTATATTTAGGCATACAATTTAACCTAGATAGACATGGATGCTTGCTTAAAATTTAAAATCTTGTTTGTTTTATCATAATTCAATTAAATTAAAAGTTTCTTTTAGGTTTATTATAAAATTTCACATTGTTTAAAAAGGTTGTCATGATTTTTCGTTCTGTTACATGTTATAAATGTTGTGTATTGTTTATGTTGTGTATGCTTGTTGCGAGAATGCGTAATGCGCTTATTGCTTTCGCTCTGACATGTACAATGAGATTCGCATTTTACTTACATAAGGTTAACTCATAGAACAAATCATAAATTAGACATTAACTAAAACATAAACTGACAATAAAATGTACACTTAAAATCAAACATAATCGAATTAAAACTTAGAACTTAGCGAGCAAGGAGATATTTAAACTGAACTTAAACCATAATCAGATATATGTATATGTGTATGTGTGTGTGTATGTGTATGTCGAACATAGGCATAAAATTTAATTAAGAATAGTTGTATATTTCATATGATACATAAGGCCTTAGTAGGGATGTTATCGAATTCAATTCTTAAAATGTACATCAAATTGTTTTCATATAACGCTCTGCCAAACTGGAAAGCCAATCCGGTGAAGATTCATTTTGGGTGTTTCGTATGGAGGTGGAGGATGTGGCTAGTGAGCGTGCCTTTTTATATGCTGTGAGGCGTGTTCCTTGTGACACATATAATACAGTTCATCATATATGAATATATGCTTGTATGTATGTATGTGTGTAGGTATATATTTATAGAAATATATATTTATATATGCACGCAAGTATTAACAACATGTGCTAAACATATGCAATATTTTTATATTAGTTTGGTATCGTTTTAGTTTTCGAATTGTCTTGTTGCTGTTGTTGTTGTTGTTGCTGTTTGTTTGTTGTTGAATTGTTTTGATTACGACTGTATTGTTTTGTTTTTTTTTTTGCATATTTCGAAATTTTTCAATTTTTATACATTATGAATAATGCGTTTTGGTTTAGTTCAAGAACTTTGCTACTGTTATCATTATGAGGTTGGCCAACATGATGCAAATGCTTGATTCTGGCATATAGCTACCTCCGCTAACAACAATGTCTTTCTCCTCCAGCAACGGGTAGTCGATGACATGTATGATGCCATTGGTGCACTCAACGTCCGGCCGATACACATTTATCTTCTTGTAATTCCACGTGATCACATACCCTGCAATTAGATTATGAAGAGTGTTAGGAATATTTGATTCATATTCGGACTAAAACTCTAAGGGATATGCTCTGGAGCATACGGTGAGAGTTATGTTATGCTTGGAATGGAGCCATTTTCGATGGCTGTGGTGGGTGGCTAGTGCGATTGGTTGACTAACTGCAACACTCACCAGTCCATTCGTGACTAGCATACTCATCATGTAGATCTTTTACATATATTGATTTGGAGTTGGTTAAATACAAAGCATGAGATTTTGGTAAAGTCGAAGAGAAACAACATAAGTTAGTACAGATTATGGTACCAATAGCATCGAATCGAAATGGGTGCCCTAGGTGGTTACAATTAAATAACACTTACGTCCAGCCTCCTCAGTGACCTTCATTTTGAGTGAATCGCGGAATGTGGGCAACACCACATTGTCGGTAGTCAGGGACATTTGAGCCAGATCTTTCATGGTAAACACATGATCCGCAATGACCAGGTGACGTTCCAAAATGTATTTTGACTGTGAAGAGAATACGAATTGTAAAATGTGCAAATGTCGAATTAAATATGAATATTCACATGATATGCAAAGTCGCGCATGAAGAGCTTCTTGTGAGCCGAGGGATAGTCCAGTTCAGTCTTCTGCCAGCCCTTATCGCGGGGCACGAAGAACGTGTACCGACGCTGGGTATTATTCAGCTGATCGTTAAAGTTCGAGAATTGACCCATTCGGTAAGTATCACTGTGGGAACAACAGAATTAGTAACAGAAGTAAACAGCGGGCAGTTTTCATAGGCTACCTCATCATGGGGTCGGTTTCCAGCTTGCCCAGCACTGTGGTGTGGGGCACGCCCAACACGTGGTCAATGATGTGGACATAACCGTTGGTTTGAGCAACATCTGCCTGCAGGATGGTGGCATTAACGCCGCCGCCTTCAACAGTGATCTTGGCATCAGCGCCTTCGCCGATGATGTTAAAGTACAGGAACGTTCTATTATTCACGGTGGGCACCTGAGCGATCTGGAAGCAAGAATATGAGCTTAATGTGTGAGTTTAAATATGATTTCGAGCAGATTATTACCATATTTGCATTCTTTTGCCTGATCTTCTCGACGTTCAAGCGCTCCTTGATGATGTGCATGTTGAGAATATCAGTCATCCTCTTGCGATCTCTGTGAATAACAGCTGTCGTTTATATTTGATCTCATCTGAACAATCTATCAACTCACCTAACAATATTGTCAATGGAGGAAGTATTCCAAGCTTCATTGCTGGGCGCCAAAATCGTTACTTCAGACAGATTGTTAATGCCATCCAGCACCGCGCCGCCAGAGTCCATGATCACCTCCAGGAACTTGCGCAATGCTCCGTTCTCCCCGTTGTCCTTTAAAATAGAAACGTATTGGTCAGGACTAAGTGTGATTAAATACTTATATATTAATATATACAATTATCTTTGAAGTGGGGCTTAGCAATGCGTGTACATTTATAATGGATTTTACAAAACATCAAACATCTATATATCTCTGATATGATTGCATTTATATTAATAAGATAAGCTTTACATAGAATAAGAAAGAGATTAATGATCCCTATTAGTTCCATTCAGAACTTGTGATAATCTAAGCAATTGTTGCATAACTGATGAAATTCTTGGTGTGTTTGACTCGAATCAAGAGGATTAAAGATCAGCTCTTGATTTGATAATACACATTCGCTGGTTATGATGAGAGGCATGAGAAATAAAACGTTTCAATTGAAATTTGTGACCAGGCGGCGATTGGTGGTGTGTGGCTACTGGCTACTGGGTGAGGTCCATGGGCAAGCTGATGAGTGTTGTGGTTCAATTGATTGTGTTATACAATTACTTACGTTCACAAACTAAATCGGTACAATCATTGTACAACGGTTGGAAGTAGTAGTAGTAGTAGTAGTAGAAAGAGCGTTATAAATTCATATTCAATGTTAAAAATTGAACAAATGTCATAAATATTGTGTGGGTGTGTGTCGTTAGGTACACGTTAACGAGTATTTTTCAGGTTCCGCGCAGTGTGGAAGTTCCGCCACCGAGTTGAAAAATTGTTTGAAATAAAGTATTAGGGAAATAGAATTTATTCACTTTGTTTACTTTTGCGGAGTTGCGTTAATAGTAGGTAGATTGAAATTTCGATTTTGCAAGCATACTCTTATACCTTAAGTAAACGTTTCTCAAATAAAAATACAAATAAAAAGGCAACAACTAAAATCGTACTTCTAATTTGCATTGTAATTTAGCGTAGCATGCAGTCATATTTTGGAGTCTGTTGCGATTGTCACCAAATTTGTTATGCAGATTAAGATCTCAACATCTCTTTACGAAGACATCAAGTATTTTTACGCTTGATCAAAATGATCTGTCGTTCTGGTTTGCGTAAACACCCTATATAAAACTAGCTTAGCTCAGCGTTTTTTATTAGAGATCTGTATATTCGGCTTAAGGGGCAAACCATAAGAGATTGAATTACTTGGCTTATGAAAAGTTGCTCTATTTTATATTCTGAAAACTTAAGAAATCACAAACTTAGTTACTTATTATGTTCCTAAACCATATGCTAGCAACAAGCAATCAATCCTCGACTTGTCGAAGATATTTTTCCTTATCTAAATAGAGATGTCAAACTGTAAAACACATGCATAATTAAAATTGAAAATAATATTGAACTATGTCTGTTTTTACTGTTTACTTGCTTCTTGCATTTGAAAACATGCTGAGATAACGTGCTCCTATATAATCAATTATACAAAAATGATAAACAAATGAATATTAAATTACGAACTGTAAACTGTATAGTACAAGTAACGGTACATAAATATATATGTATCTGTATAGCTAACTGCAAAAAGAGTTGTTTACCTTGAACGACTGCGAAATGTTCAGATTTCAATTAGCGAGCGATATGGGATTTGCATGTACGAGAAACAGAATATAGATCAGTCGGTCAGTATGGCGAATATGAGGAATGAGGAGTGCTTGTTACAACAGAACGCAAAACAAACAGTTAGAAATGTATTAAATAATAAACAGTAAGATGAGCCGACATTGATTTGATTTCGAATGCAGAACAATGTATATAATGTATTATGCATATCGGATTATGACGGCGATCTCACATGAACGAGATGCGTCTACGGCTAGAGGAACTCAACATAATATTACGTTCAAAGCATGCCGACTGAGCGATAGATCGGGCGAGCTGAGAGCTGATATACGAGTATATAGTATGATTTGCTATGAATGGAGAAATGCTAAAGCCAATTAAGGACACTTTACAAGGACAGAGCGTGGTTCACCAATGCACTGGATCGAAAAATATGCAGGAACTGTGAATGAAGTTTTTTATGAGAAAACATTTTTAAAAATTTATTGCTAACTTGCGTAAGTGCAAGCAAAGCTTTAAAAATTTGCACTGTGCCAATTAATTATTTTGCAATTTTGATTATCAAATAACAGCAATTTGCTTGCAATTGTCGCTGAATAGAATTTTGGGAACTTTGGAGCTGCAGTTCGAAGACAAAGCATTTGAAATGAAATTAATTTTGATAGCTGAGCCAATCAACGCCTTGGAAATTGCAGCTCTTGTAGATTTTGATTTCATGATTTTATAATATAGAAGATAACAATTTGGTTAATTACATTAAATACATTGCTTTTCATTTTTTTGGTTGATTGATTGTTGGCAATACTTACATTACACCCAAAATTTTTTTAAAATAAAATTTGTACTTTAAAAATTATTTTAAAATAAAATTTTGCTATGATTCTACATGAAACCGAATCAATTCATTTTACGTGCAAAATCTGTTCCGACATTCATGTCGAGAACAAAACTTTACACTAATCTCTAGACCTCGGAAATAATCTTAGCAATTCAGTTTTATGTAAAATCAGACTTTGGGCTTTCAATTTGGCAAGTGTAGCTATTGAGTTTTTGGGATCAAGCGTTGCCTTGTAATTTATATACATACGTATGTGTGTGTGTGTGTGTGTGTGTGTGTATGCGTGTCTATTGTTAATGTCAAGTTTATGTCGCTATTTGATACTTTTGTTTTGACTTTGCATATAGAAGAACGCTAGAAATGTGAGGCTCTCAAGCAGACGCATGCCACTTATTCCTGAGGAGCGCAGCTCAGCTAAATGCAAAGTATTATAGCGTATATATATATATGTATGTGTGTGTATGTGATTGCACTGTATTTATGTGTCTGTGCGCTTAAGCGTTTGCTGAGGCAGCTGGCACATGCAGCCACCCAGAGCTGAGTGATGAGCCAATCAAAATGCCAAGCCTTATCGCCAGTCATGGCCACTGTCTATTTATTATTATTATTACTATCTGTGTGGGTGTACGTATCTCTGTTTGGTATTTGCGACTGGGTGCTACGCCCACCTACCTGTAGAAATTGTGTGACGGTCGTATCGATGATCATGAGCGGGCGACGAATCAAATGGATGACACCGTTTTTCACGGGTATATTGGCCTTGACAATCTCAGACAGGACCACGCCCTCCGGATGCTTGGCATCGCCGACAATTGTATTGGACTTGACATACACTAAACACAGAGAATGACATGAATGAGGGATAAGAACATCTCCGGCAATTATCTGTCTTACTTTTGCCGTCCTTTTGCTTGAAGAAGCTTACGGTGACCTTCAGTTGATCCTCAAAGGCAGCGGAAGTCTTGGGCTCGTCGTGTTGCGAGGCGGCAGTGAAAATGACAGTGTTCGGTATAACGTGACCGTCGATGACCTTGCCATCCACCAAACTGCTGCGGGTCGTTATCTACATGAAAGATAATAATACAAACGATGAACTGAATAATTGAGCAGGCAAATATATTGTCTGATGTTTGCACTCACCTTGAAGCCCTCGTCCACGGGCAGCAGGAAGGTGTGCGCTCCCGGCGCATTATACAGCGACTCCTTCTTCATCAGCGCCAGCTGGGAGCGATAGGTGCGCAGTTTGTTGTCGCCGACACTCAGCTGATCGGCCTTTTGTATAAATTGCAGGGCATCGAGATTATTGATTTCTGTCTTGGCAGTTGGCAGCGCAGTGAGTGGTTCCAGGACCTCGTCAATAATGTGCATGACCTGCGCAATATATTAGTCATATTTTTAAGTATTTAGTATATATGCATGCATTGCCATTGCGTAAATATTCAATCGAAAGCCTGGTCACTGACCTGACGCTTGCCCTCGCGGTTTGTCAGCTCGACGCTGAGCGAGGGTATGATGCGGGCATTGTTCACATAGATGTCACCATTGCGGCTCTTTGTTATGTAGAGCGGCGGATTCCCTTCCATGTCCGATGACACGGTCTTTTCCAGTTGATCTTTACTGAACGCCGCCGTGGCTAAACGTGGGAAAAGGGCATTTTAATTAAATAATTCAGATGAATCATGATTGCATGCTACGCAAATACTCACTGATGTGATAGAGGACATGGGTGGGACCCTTGTGGCGCTGGAAGGCTTCGTTAGTGGGCACAAAGATGGTGCAGGAGCGCAGCGAGAGCGTCGCATTGGCAACAGGATTCTGCTCCAGCAGACTATAGAACTGTAAGCATAAATAATTGTACATGTGTTAGTGTGCATATTAAGTTTTGTAGGACAGTGTTGTTAGCATGCTTTGAAAATATTGAACCAAACGAAATCATGCATTGGGGGGAGAGACTAAGAGCGAGTGAGAGAGAGAGAGAGAGAGAGAGAGAGAGAGAGAGAGAGAGAGGGAAACG